AAGGGGGGGACCCCCCCCCCCCCCCCCACTGAGCAGGGGGCATCCATCCCAGCACACCACACCGGGAGCCCCACAAGGCTGGTGCCGACTTCAGTGGCGACAGCACCATCTGGTGGCCCTCAGAGGCACTGCAGAGCTGTGGGCAGCCGCTGGGCACCCATATCCGGTGGCTCTGGGAGTCCCAGCCTGGGCCCCGACTGCTCCCCTCCTGCCTGGTCTTCACACAGGCCTCTTCGGCTCAGGCATCCGCTCCTACTTTACCTTCCTCCGCTTCCTGCTGCTGCTTAATCTGCTGACTGTGCTGCTGACTGCCAAGTTCGTGCTGGTGCCCCTGGCCTGGCTCCGCCCCCCGGGCCCGAGTCCCGCCCTGAACGTCAGTAAGTGCTGGGTGGCCCTGACTCTCTGGGCCTGGGCCCGGCCTGTTGCGTGTCCCCAGCCCTGGGCTCTCCCTGACCCTGCCCGTGGCCCGGCTGCAGAATGGGAAGCCCAGGGGTCATTGATATCTTGGGAACCCTTCCCTGTTCCACCTATCTTCGATAGCCCTCCAGTGCCCCAGTGGCCACCAGCCCCAGACTGACGTCCCCAGGTTCCACAACCAGCTTTGGAATGTTTTAACTGGCAGGGTAAGTGGTCCGGGAAACAGGGCGCACCCCCCCCCAGAGGATCCCACCCTCCAAGGGTATTTTGGCTTCTGGGGGCATGACTTACAAAAGCTCGTGGGACCAGTGACGGGGTTAGCGGAGTGTGCGACCGTGGACAGCACAGCCCATGGCCCTTTAGTCCCGTGGGCGGGGTGTAGGGGACAAGAGAGCCCTGGGTAACTGTCTCCTCATCCCAGGAAGCTGCCAAGTGTGGCCTCCTGAGTCCTACCTGTGACTCCTCAGAGCTGGGTGACCAAATGGCCCAAACTCTGTCTGCCTCTGTACAATGGGGATATTTTCATCTAATGGGGTTTTTGTGAGGAGGCTGAGGAGTTCACGTGGGGCAAGTACCAGAACGGAGCCTGGTGCTCGGCACACACCCAGCTGCACCCCTCGCACTCCCCAGGCCTTCAACAACACCTATCTCTTCTACGGCACCTACCGAGCAGGGCCCGAGAGCAGCTCCGCCTACAGCATCCGCCTGGCCTACCTGCTGTGCCCACTGGCCTGCCTGCTGCTCTGCTTCTGTGGGACGCTGTGGCGGTGAGCACTCAGTCCTTCCCTCACCAGTCCCCAGGCTGTCTTCCCTGGTTGCCCCTTCCATGGCAGGGGCCTCCCCAAATTACAGAGGGGTCCCTGACCCTGTTCAGTAAGGCTCACCAAACATAGGCATCCCGGCCACATTATCTTGGAAGAGGGGCCACTACTGGGGTGCGGCCAGGCTGGAGGGTGGAGACCCTGGCTGGTGTCCGTCCCCAGGATGGTGAAGGGCTTGCCGCAGAGGCCGGGCCTGGGCCAGGCCTACAGGGTGCCTCTCAGTGCCAAGGTCTTCTCGTCCTGGGACTTCTGCGTCCATGTGTGGGAAGCGGCCACCATCAAGAAGCACGAGATCAGAAATGAGTTCAAGGTGCGCGTGAGAGCGGGAGTGCCTGGCTGTGAGCGTGGTGTGGGCATGTGCGGGCACTGTGCCAGCGAGTGTGGAAGCATCGCTACTGTGTACGGATACGCGCGTGTGTGACACGTGTGAGAGAGAGACGTCGTGAGTGTGCGATTGTGCCTGAGGGTGGGGTGTGAGAACACGTGAGCGTGCCCGAGCGCGAGCGGCGTGTGTGAGCGCAGCGCGGAGGAGTGGTGGTGCAGGACTCCGCCCACCCGGCACAGGGGTACCTGGAGGAGAGCCACCGCCTCCGCGAGAAGCGGCGGGAGACCCCGGCTCAGCGTGCCTGCCGCCTGCTCAGCTACCTGCGCGTCAACGTCCTCATGGGACTCCTGGTGGCCGGAGGCATCAGCGCCATCTTCTGGGCCACTAAGTACTCGCAAGGCAACAAGGAGGTGCTAGCACTTGGGTTCCCATAGTCCTCAGAGCACTCACCGATCGGCCTGGCTCTCCCCAGGGGTCCCAGCCCCGCCCTCACTGCACCTCCGGCAGGGGTGGGGGGGCAGAGGGCAGGGCCTGCACCAGCGCCCCCTCACGGGGGCGGCTCCCCACAGGAGCCCCTGTTCGTGGTGCTCCAGTACCTGCCCCCCGGGGTCATCTCGCTGGTCAACTTCTTGGGGCCCCTGCTGTTCATGTTCTTGGTCCAGCTGGAGAACTACCCGCCCAGCACAGAGGTCAACCTCACCCTCTTCTGGTGAGCACTCCCGGGACCACGTGGGCACAGGGAGGCCTTGCTGTTGTCTTGGAGTCACCTGCACCAGGACTCCCAAGGGGGCCCCACGTTCACAGGGCAAGCAGGTGGGCACTCCTGGACATGGCCTCCCCAGTCCTCACCACAGAGGAGGCCAGGCTGGCCCACGTGCTGTCATAGAGGAGCCAGGGGCTGTCTGGCCAGGAGTCTGGGAACCTGGGTTGTAGCCCTTTTACCATGGCGAGATCCATGCACTTGGGTCAGCCCCACGGGCCCACTGTCACAGTGCTTTCAGGGCGCCAGTTCATATCCAAGACCTCCTCCACCCCAGGCCCTAGCAGTGCCCAACTCAGCACTCGATACAGCAGCTTTACTGTACCTCAAGCTCCCCTGCAAGCCCAACTCCAAGCTGCCCCCCACCCCAAAATTCCCAGAGGCTTCCTTCTCCTCCTGCCACCCCCACCTGCTTCCAGCCTACCTGCGTCCTCCAACTGTGATTTCTTTTGAAACTTTTTTCTTTTTTCTTCATTATTTGGGATTGAACTCAGGACTTCACACTGAGCTACTTTTTATTTTAAAAATGGGTCTTGGGCCCGGGATTTAGCTCAGTGGTGCCATCGCATGTCTGGCAAGCACAAGGTCCCGAGTTTGATCCCTGGTACCAAACAACAAACAAACAAACAAAAACAGGGTTTCACTAAGTTACCAAGTTGCCCAGGCTGGGCTCAAACTTGCAGTCCTCCTGCCTCAGCTTCCCAGAGTGCTGGGATTACAGATGTGCATCACCACATCTATCTGAAGCTTTACTTTTTGAATATGTTATGAATGCTCAAAAGGATAAAAGGTTAAAAAATAAGCTCCCACCCAGCCTGCCTCCCAGGCCACACGTGGGGACCAGAAGTGTCCACCCTTGCAGATAACGTGCATGCTACGGTTTGAGGCCAGCAGACCTACACAGGATTCTGACATGTTATTCAGTGAGGCCGTGTGGCCTCTGCATAGGAGATGTCAGTGAGCTAGGGAGTGAACTCAGTGGCAGACACTTGCCCAGCAGGTGCAAAGCCCTGGGTTCCATCCCCAGCACCATGAGGAAAAGGAACATGAAAAAGGTCTCACCTGAAAGATTCAAGGTTTCTTCTCCCCTGTGGAGCATGGCATCTGTGAACCGTAAACTGAGTCTGGTAGAGGATAGCCACAAAAGACATCGTTTCCCAAACTCATTTCAAAACAGAACCCCTTTCTCACGAATCGCCTGGAGACTTGGATTCTGGGGAATACTTTGGGAAACACTGCCATGGCCAGAGCAGGCTGGAAGGAGACTGGGCTCTGGGCCTAGAGGGGGCGGGGCCAGGAAGAGGTGATCTCCTGGCCTTGTGCAGATAGCAGTCACACCTGTGACCTGGGTAGAGTCCAGGGCCTTGTACCTGTCCCTGCCCCCAGGTGTGTGGTGCTGAAGTTGGCCAGCCTGGGGATGTTCTCCTTCTCGCTGGGTCAGACCATGCTGTGCATTGGCAGAAACAAGACCAGCTGCGAGCCCTTCGGCTACAACGCCTGTGACTACCAGGTGGCTAGTGGCCTGGCTGGGGCCTTTCCCTCCCGTCCTTCTCTGCAAGGCCCTACCTCAAAACCTGCAGTCCTGTCCCTGCTCCTGTGCTCCCCTTGGGCCCCTCCAGGTCTCACCTTTGTAAGCAGAGTGCCATACAATGCAACACCCCCAGAGGGCACTCCTACAGCACACTGTGCAGCGAGGCAGTCCTGGGGGGTGGCTCTTGCTCTAACTGCCCTGGAGTCTTGTCTGACCGTAGCCAAGCTCCTCTGCTGCAAGATCCTCCCAGGGTGGGTGAGGGACGGGAAGTGGGGGACAGGATGTTGAAGGGGTCCTTCACTCTGCACCTCAGTGCTGGGAAAACTCAGTGGGCGAGGAGCTGTACAAGCTGATCATCTTCAACTTCCTCCTCACCGTGGCCTTTGCCTTCCTCGTCAGCCTGCCCCGGAGGTGAGCCAAGCAAGAGGTGGCCCCACAGGGAGAACGGGGTGGCAGGGATGTGCTTGGGGTCCGCCAGGTCTGCCCGTGTGGTGTGGTGGTCCCCGGCCTGCACATCCTTCTTGACCTAGACCCTGCCCACCCCAGGCTACTGGTGGAGCGGTTCTCGGGCTGGTTCTGGACTTGGCTGGACCGTGAGGAGTTCCTGGTGCCCAAGAACGTGCTGGACATCGTGGCGGGGCAGACGGTCACCTGGATGGGCCTCTTCTACTGCCCTCTGCTGCCCCTGTTGCACAGCATATTCCTCTTCCTCACTTTCTACATCAAGAAGGTGAGGACCCGCTGGGGAGGCGCTCGGGCCTGCTGTCCCCTGGCCGGGTCTGACAGCTGTGCTCACCGCCACGCTTGTCCTGGCTGCTCCCCAGTACACCCTCTTGAGGAACTGCAGGGCGTCCCCTCGGCTGTGCCGCGCCTCCAGCTCCACCTTCTTCTTCCAGCTGGTGCTGCTCCTGGGCCTGCTCCTGGCAGCAGCGCCCCTGGGCTATGTGGTCAGCAGGTGAGGGAGAAGGGCTGGGCGGTGCTGCTGGGAGCCCCCACCCCACGCTCCGCTGACTCCCACATCCCCCCCGTTGCTCCAGCACCCACTCCTCCCGGGACTGTGGCCTCTTCGCCAACTACTCCACCCCGTGGCAGGTGGTGCAGGAACTGGTGGCTCTGCGGCTCCCGCTCCCTGGCCAGCGTGCCCTCCGCTATCTCAGCTCTCACGCCTTCAGCTTCCCCCTCCTCATCCTGCTCAGGTGCCCGTCAGGGCGGCAGGGACCGTGGGAGGGGACGGTGGAGGAAGAGGTCCTTTTCCCTAGCCCGTCTCAGGGGACCCGGAAGACAGGCGGGGGAGCCCAGGTGAGCAGGGCCGGGCCCCAGGTAGGCCTCCCCTGGGAAGCAGGCCCCATGCAGGTATGTCTGTCGTGGGGACGCCGGTCCCCTGGGGAAGCATGGCGCCTCGCTGGACAGCCGTGATAGAGGAGTCCCAAGGGGAGGAGCATCCTCACCCCAGTAAAAGTTGTGCAAGGAGAAACCCCAGGACGGCCTTAAGAGGCTGGTGGAGGAAGTCAGGAGGTGGCACCTGTGGTCGCAAGGACGACTGACGTCGAATCCCGTGTCTGCCCCCAGCCTGGTCCTGACCGTGTGCATCTCCCAGTCCCAGGCCAACGCGAGGGCCATCCACGTCCTCCGGAAGCAGCTGGTGTGGGTGAGTGAACGCTGGGCTTGGGGGACACCGATCTTTCGGGAGCGGGACCCGAGACGGCGGGTGCCTCGGCTGGGGTGCAGATGAGGAAGGGGAGGGAAGGAAAGAGGTCCCTAGACTCGGCCAGTGTACGGGTGCGAGACCTGATAAGAACGTGGCCCTAGGTTTGGGTCTGTGACAGGGGCCTGGCTCCGAGCGGCAGTTCTCTGGTGCGGACTGACCCGCAGGGAGTGGCCTCTGGGGGAGGAGCCTGCACGGGCGTGACCGGCCGTGACCTCGGGTGGCGGTGGCGTTGGGGGCAGGACGCTGGTCTCCCTGGGGCCGGGCCTTGTCGGGGCGTGGCCTGGGCTGTCCCATCCGCAGTCTCCCAGTGGCTTCCGCCTCTAGACGCTGTTCACTACCAGCTGCTTGGCTCCCACAGCAGGTCCAGGAGAAGTGGCGCCTGGTGGAAGAGCTGTCACGGCTGCTGCCGGAGCCAGGCTCGAGCGAATCTCTGATCCCCGACTCCCCTCACTTCCGCGCTTTGCGCCCGCGGTCCTTCGGCCCCGGATTCCCGAGCCCAGGATCCCCAGGCCCCAGGCCCCAGGCCCCAGGCCGGGAACCTTCCACGTGGACTCCCCCTGTTTAGGCTCCTCCTATCCCGGATAACAGGGTGGCCCGGCCCGGCCTGACCCAACCCGACCCCATGTACATCCACTGTAGCTGCAGCACCGATTCTCCACGGATGGATCTGCAGCACCCACTTTCCCGCCCTGGCCTCTGGAGCCCCCCAACAGGACCCCCCCCAAAGAGGGGCACACATCCTCAGGGGCAGCAGGAAGACCATATGGAAATTTCTTTTACTTTTTATCTCATCCCTTTAAAATTGCTATTTTTTACTAAATATTTTATACTGTGCATATATTATTATAATGTGTGTTTTGTTAGTGTTTTGGTACTGGGGATCGAAGTCGGGTCCTTGCACTTGCGAGGCAGGCGCTGGAACCACTAAGCTAAATCCCCAGCCCTATTATAGTGACCCATAAACACAGTTCACAAGTAATACATCTTTGGGATGCTGGGAAGTTGCTGACAGGAGGGAGCGCTCCCAAAGCTTACAGCCCTCTCCCGTGGGGAGGGAGGAGCTGTCTGCCACCCTGCATGAGAGCTGCCCTGTGCCCCGTACCGGCTCAGCCCTTCCCGGGGTGGACAGGAAGCTTGCAGAGGTCAGGGCCAATGGCCAGCAGAGGCAGCGGGATTTGAACCCAGCAGGAAGGCTGCAAAGCCACATTGCCTCAGAAGGGGCTCAGCAGCCCTTCCTGACTAACCAACCAGAGGGCTCCTGGGAGGGTGTCCTTGCTCTCCGTACCTGCTGTAGCCAGCAAACATGCTGCCGGGACCGGAACCCAGGTCCACGCCAAGTCTTCTGCAGAATCCCTCCTCCCAAGCTGCTCACCAAGCCAACCTCGAGCCTCTGTGGGTGAGAATCAGCCAGGCTCTAGGTGGCATCCACCGGGCTGTACTGTGACAGACACATGGGGTGTGGGTCTCAGTAAGTGGCATGGCCATCAGGGCTAGGATGTGGCCCAAGGCTGTGCCCCAGGTTCCTGAGCCTGCAGCCCCCACCCCATACACTGACCTCAGAAGCTGACCCATCCAGCTCCTGGGCTGACTGGGCCGGAGGCAGCCAGTAGCCAGGATGCCAGGACTTTTTAAAGTGCCCCGGTGACTCTTGCAGGGAGCTGGCATAGAGAGCTCTGAGAAGGCAAGGTCAGAAGAAATCCCAGGACTTGCTTGAAAAGCTTCCTGCTACCCCAGGGACCAGCACCCAGCCGATTCCCGCCTGCAGACGTCACAGGCTAGCTCTGCCCACCGCCCTCAGGGCTGGGGGCTTCCTGGCCAGTCCGTCCCCTCTGCTGGCCAGCATTGTTTGACCACCAGTGCCACCCATGTACAGCGAGTGCTGCTAAATGCCAGGTCCTGTTCCTGGGGTGGCAGTAAGGCCTTTCAGGAAGCCGGAGCTTTGTGTGCCATCTGGGAAGGGATCATCAGTGAGGTCCAGCAATGGTGGCCTCCTGTGTGAGCCACACCCCAACCCGTTTTACTCCCCACCACCCCACTACCAGGGATTGAACTCAGGACCTTGTGCTTGTGAGGCAGGCAGTGGAACCACTGAGCTAAATCCCCAGCCCTAAGGGGACAGCTGTTTCTTATCACACTCACATCCCTTCGGCAGACACTTTGAGAGCCAGCTTCCTACATGCCCATGTGCTCTGCAGGAACCATGAAGACAGCTTAGAGACTGAGATCACCAAACGCTGGGCCTTGGGGTACTCGTCCCAGGGGGGAAGAAGCCATGTTCCTGCGAGGGGCTGAGAGTATCCAGTGAGCGATTATAAAACCCCAAGGGATGAGTGTCCAAGGGTACACACTCAAGGCTCCCATTACCATGTGGCCTCCCCAGGCCTCGTCATGGGGACCTTCCAGGGACAGGACATGAGGTAGCACAGACACACCCATAGGGCCTTGGTAGATCAGACTGGCCCACCATGGCCAAAATCACAGAACATAAAGTGGCGTGGGGGCCTGGGGAGTTTGGGGGACACCTAGACTCCACTGGAGGACACGAGTGGATAACTTCAAGAGTCACCACTGGATCGCCCTCACCAGCCCTGCTCTCCCTGCTACCCGGGAGAGGCCCGGCCCAGGGACAGAAAGGCCAGGGCAGCCAGAGGACCAGGGAGCAGTGATGCCTGGACAGGGACCGTGGTAGGTAGGGCAGGAAGGCGCCTCATTTCACTGAGGCCCAGGGAAGGTGGCCTGAAGTTACCAGGACTCTCCTCTGAGTCTGGGCCCCAGACACCCTGAAGAAGAGGAGGCTCCTCAGAGATGCCAGAAGGGAAACACCAGCTTCTGGGCCTCCTGACAGCAGACCGCCCACACCCCGAGGCCCCTGTGGGTCTCCCTTCAGTCCTCCCTTCCACCCCACTCCACTCCCAGCAGACTCAATGTCAGGCTTTTGGAAGGGAATTTTGCTGGGAACTAAGAAAATGCCACATGCACATTGGAGCCAGGGCCCTGGTGGGGGGGGCACAGGCACCATCCCAAAGCTCTCATCAGGACCTCAAGCAGCAAGTGACAGCTCTGACTCAAGCAAACTTGCTAAGGAGAAAGGGAGCCACCAACAGGGCCACCAGCAGGTGACTTCCTGACTCCTGCACCAGCTCTTACTATTCCCTGGCCAGCAAGCAGCGTCCTGAGGCCACCAGGCCAATGGACAGGGCTGGAACTGGCCTTCCTTGGGTCCAGCATCCCTCCTGGGCTCATGGGCCATGCCTGGGGCAGGGAGTAGTTTCCCTGGTCGGGCTCTCCTGGAAACAAACGGTTGCCTGGCTCAGAGGACGTCATCTTGGAAGAAGCTGTCAAAGCCAGTGATCCCCACACAGTCACCGAACCTGCCCAGAGAGCCCCTGGTTGGTGTGGCAGCCCCAGGCCGGGCTGTGAATGAGGAGCCAGGCTCACAGGCAGGAAGGTGACAGTGCCCACTGTGGAGGTAGAGGGACTCACTCCCTCAGCTCTGTCTGTCTCTCTCCAGGTAGCTCAGCTGCAGGCCAGGCCACACCACCTCTGGCGACGCAGCTTGGTCTTCTCTTTGTCCAGAGTGGCACTGGGTCTGGGCCTCTAGGTAATGATCACCCCTATCCTGGGACCCAAGGAAGGACCCTGCCCCTCTTAGTGCCTCAGGGACACTGCCTCACACTCCTGGGTTAACCAGGGGCCTGGGCCAGGTAAGACCCAGAGAGACGAGGCAGGCCCTGCCCTTCCTCCCTGCTTTTTGGGATGTAGCCTGCAGCTCTCTGGAGCCACCTGGTAAGCGCCCTGCTGATCACATTAGGCCCACCCAGGTAACCTAGGATCATCACCCCCTCTGGGGCTGGCAGGCACAACCTGGGCCGACCCTCCCACTGACAGAACCCACTGGCAGGGTCAGGGCTAAGGGCATGGACGTCTCCTGCTGCGGGAGCCGGGGGCCCTGCTCAGCGTGCCGGCTGAGCTCCATCAGGCCCAGTGTGCTCCCCAGCCCGGGCTCCTTCCTTCTACTCCCCAGGGGCGTGGGGCCGTTGGCTGGGAGGTTCTCTGGGCCCAGCTCTGGGAGCTGGGGCCTCTGGGTTATCTCCCCAACCCAGGCAGCCACCAGGGGCACCCCAGGGCCCCAGGGTGGGGACTCAGACCACGGCTGCCACAAAAGCAGAGCAGAGGCCCCACACGGCCCACAGCCCAAGAGGCATGAGGCTCCCTCAGCTGCTCTGCTTGGCCATGCTGGGTGAGCCCATGGGGGACACTGCTGGGGGGTCTGCTGCTTATGGTGTGGGGTGCTGGGGAGTGCAGAAGTGGCCCTGGGTCTGGGCTTCGATCTCCTTCCTGCCTCTGTGGCTGTGACTCCTTGGTCACGCCGGTCTCTTTTTCACTCATCTGAAAAATGGGCTGAAGAAACCCGAGTGTCACAAGGCTCAAAATGACTCCGAGAGCAATCATGCTGAGGGAATCCTGGGGCCTCGGGACCAGGAGCAGCCTGCTGCTTCCCCCACCCTCCCACCCTCACAGGGGGCTCCAGGTGTCTGCAGCCTCCCCTGAAACCCTCCTCTCTTCCAGCAGCCAGCAGCTCTTCCAAGGGCCAGGCAGACAGTGAGAGGCCCTAGCTCTTCCAAGGGCCAGGCAGACAGTGAGAGGCCCTACACCCTGCAGGGACAAGGTCAGCCTGTTGGGGACAGTGGCAGATGCCTTGGCTGGGAGGAGTGGTGGGAGAGGAGGGGTGCTAGGAGCAGCTGGACCCAGGCAGGACCCTGGGGGAGCAGGCTGAGCAGGTGATGCGGGGGTGGGCAGGGACACAGGGCAGGGCTGGTCTGCTTAGGGTGGCCGGCTGGATGGGGGCGTCTGGGTTACGGTACCCCGGGTCCTCGTCGGGAGCAGCTTCTCCTCCAGGTGCTTCACAC